TGTCTACGGCCATATCACGCTGAAAGCACCGGTTCTCGTTCGATCACCGAAGTTAAGCAGCGTCGCGCCGGGTTAGTACTTGGGAGGGAGACCACCTGGGAATACCCGGTGTCGTAGACTTTTTTTTTGCATATTTTTTACTTTTTTTGTGTTTTATGTTATACATTTTGTTCATATGTAGAGTTTCAATTAGTTTTTATTTATTTATTATAAGTTTAAACTAGTAATATACATTTTAAATAAATTTTTAAATAATTAATATTAAGCATCACTCGTTATATTATGTAAAATTGGAATTCTTTCTTCATTTGACAGATCCATGTAGCCAATGTATAAACAAGTCTAACTCGCAATTTATAATGTTTAAATTATATTAAGTTGGTTTAGGTTAAGTTAGGTTAGGTTAGGTATGCAGGTAGGAGAGGGCACGGGAAGGCAGAGTAGGTTTGAGGAAACAGGGTCATGTAATACCACAAAAAGTAATCGTTCAGAACGGGTAATAGGCTAGTAACATATTTAATTAAATTATTATGCTACCCGAATAGACATCGGGATTTAATTGTTAGGTATTTGGCGAATACTAGTCTCGATACTTTTTGAAAATACAACAATTAAAACATTTGTATCATTTGTATCCAACAATTATATTAATTACTACTAATAACGGCAACAGAAATGCCGGCCGAAGTGCCGGTATATGTGTTGATGGGAACGTGCGGTTGCGGTAAAACCACTTACGCCGAGGCACTGGTCAAAGAGTTTGGCTGTCATTCTATAGAAGGCGATCGCTTACACCCGACGGCTAACGTCGACAAAATGTCGGCCGGAATACCGCTGACCGACGACGACCGGTGGGGTTGGCTGTCAGACATTCGCCACACTTATGTGCAAAAGGCATCGCAAATAGTGGCACAGGGACTGAGCGGCACGAGTGGCCTCATTATAGTCACCTGTTCCGCTCTGCGGTTAGTTTACAGGGATTTACTGCGAGATGTGCCCAAAGGGTCGTGTCGTGTGGTGTTTGTCTACTTGAAGGGTAGCTACGAGTTGATCGACACTTGACTGAAGGCCAGAAGCGGTCACTTCATGAAAGCAAATATGTTGAACAGTCAGTGGACAGCACTGGAAGAGCCCGATCCCCACCGCGAAGATGTCATCATTCAAGACATTAGCGCCGATACCGACACTATTGTTAAGAATCTAATCAAAGAAATTAAGAAACGATTGAATGTTTGAATTTCAAACTT